AAATAAAACGGTAATAAAACATGGAATAACATGTTACAGAATGATCATTTTCATTGCCTTTAATAATATTGAAGTTTATATTAATTTTGAAAGAATTTAAGTATAACATCAATTACTATATTATTGATATCATTGATTTAACGATTCAACTTGTAAAATACAGTTTTCAACCTTGACCAAACAAACCACAAAGTTACAACAAAAATGCTAATTATAATATATAAAGGCAAAATATTACCCAACATTTATTTATTATTTCCATATTAAATTAGAACTATCATTCTAGCCCAGGCGGCCGCGGGCAAAAATACAGTATACCGTGACGTATCGTACATCACTCCGTAGTTCGTACATCGGACCGATCTTTTCTTTTACCTTTCACCAAAACACCGCCTCCAGACCGCTCGTCTCCCTGCTCGTCCTGATGTCTGGTTCGCCGTCTGGATCGGTGTACGGACTCCTGACACACTATCGAACATGCTCCCTTCGACCTCCCTTCTCCCTTATCCCTGCTCGGATCAGGGTCTTGATCGGGGGAAAGATCGATAGTGCGTCTTAAACGCCTCAGTTGCATCACAAACCTCCGCGCTCCAGAGACTCTAGGATGTCCAGACCACGACTTCCTACATTACCCGTGGACACCCTCAGTCGCGTGCCGTGTCCAGTGACAGCTGCTTCCTTCGCCAACCTGTCCACCACACACCGCTGACGTTGGACACGAGTACAAAACACCGGACGGAAGTTTCACTTTGATTCGCAGTGAATACGCATCGCTTGATAGCTTAATATCAACAATTTCGGCAATAGATCACCGTGGCTTCCTGCAATAGTGACGTCACGTGCTCACCTTCAACGTCTGTGATGTAAACATGTCAATCAGTAAACAGAGCTGTTTGGAAATTGTCAACCTTTTGTATACAGGATTGCTTTGGAATTTGTACCTATACAGGTTCAATTGATTCGAGAAGGATTTGGAATGGACTTACAGCCTTAAAAATGTGATTCAACAGCCACTACCTCAGGAAAATTCGTTTCTTGCTACACAACTCATTTGAAAATGTAAAAATTTAACATTGGCCTTATGGGTTGCCAAGTAACAATATTAGTTGAACAAGTAAATAGTAAACAAAAGGCTTGTCACACGTGTTTATAACAAGCCATCCACAGTATACTAGCAAATTATAAAATACAGTACAAAGGGAAAAGAACATCAGTTGTAACCATTTAGCAAACATTACACTGAAGATTACTCGATGTAGGGGAGATAGAGCAAGTCAGTGTTGATGAGTGTTCGTGTTGGCACCATTTGAGTGCACTGTCGTCAACTCAATCTTTCACTCTTATTTGGGTAGATTTTACAATTTGTATACACTTTTTATACATAATTTGGACATCTGTATTCATAATAAATTGAAATTCCACTGGAACTTAAATAATAAATGCCAAAATTAGTTATAAAAAACGTGAGTTTCCTTCATATTGCTTTTACAGTCGAAATAAACTAGACCAAGCTCGGCCCCCCGGTACTTATCTATAAAATCTTACATTTTGCATGTGCAGAGTTCTTGGTCACCCTGATACCGTTTTGCAGTCCACTAAGAAGTAGTTATAGTGATAAATAAACGAAGAATCTATAATTTTTTGGACATATCTACAGTAATCTGAATATCTCATATTGTCAACATACCTTGAGCATTTTTCGATTTACATCACCCCCGTTCATCCGTCAATCCTCGTCCGTTGCCCACCGTGACGTCAGACACGCAAGTCTAGTTTGTTACTCGCACGTTTTTTTAACGCCGCTTCTGTAAATAATCCGACCGTTCCGCTCTCTGGAGTGGCTGGAGGGAGTAGAGGGGGTTGCCCGGCAACCAGCCCCTGTTGTCAATCACAACGCATTTCCATCCTAACAGGGTCCCGTCTGTCGCTATGTTTATTTATCCGCCACATCTGTTGTGTATACAGGGTGTTCAGCAAGACCCCCTCCAGAATATATTACGCCCCGGGCGTCATGTGCTTGTTTTGTTTTTAATCCGGTGTATTTAGTAAAGTAGACACGGTGGAGGAAGGTCGTTTTACGTGTTTTTCACAAGCTGATGTGACTAATTAGTGTTTACAAAATAAAACATTGGGATTAAAATTATATAGTTCGGCCGCTTAGAAAACGACCTGCGCGCTAATGCTAAACAAATGCTGGAGGAGGTCGTTTTCTAAGCGGCCGACCTATAGTTGTACATCCGTTTTACTGATAGTTTAAGATTAATGACATGTTGGTTACTTAAAGATATTTAATACACATTGTACACAATTTTTTCCCCTATGTTATCGTTTGTTTTCTCTCATTGCCCTTAATTTAAATTAAAATTTAAAAAATGGCAAAGAGGTTATTTCTAGTAAAATAAAATAAAATTGTTAGTGTCCATTTGAAGTAGAGGCACATAAACAAATTTGTATCCCTATCCAAAGATGAATTTTTAAATAATTCTTATAAAACTATTTATTGTATAAGTTAGTTTAAAAAATGTAAATGTATGCACCACTGTCACCCACGTAATCAAGGTATAGGTTGAAGACATATTTTATTTCGTACATTTTCCCTAACCATCGATAGAGTACATTATAGTTTTCCCAACACGAGCTATATCAAGGTATTTATAGTTCAACTTTGTACACAACTTTACCGATGAAAGTTCGTGTACTTTTTAGTCTGATCTTTTAAAAGACACGAAAAATATACTTTTCCTCTGTTTCAGACGTTTAGCACGTCCCTCTAATTTCCTACACTCTAAATTTTAATTGTACTGGTATTTAGTAACTAAAAGTAATTATTCTCTAACCTACTACTATATATACTTTCAATTTTGTTTACACTATTTTGTTGATATCAATATAAAGATAAATTTGAATACATCGCAATTCCAACCACTATAATTAGCCAGAACAAGTTATCGACAGTGATAATTCCACGATGAGAACGCACAGTGGACGTGTTAAACAACGGGGACTAATAGCAGGATTATCCCGCAATGGAGTCCATATTTTTGGACTGCTTTTAATGAATATTTCCGAGATCCCAGCTTCGCTGCTCGGTTCCCAGGCCGAGGTTTAACAACGTTCACATGCAGCCGAGAATGTATGTTGTAATTTGTTAGGCTTTTATTTGATTTAATATTGTAACATAGAGGGTTTGATTGGAATTTTGTAAGCTTAGACTTGTAGAAAAGTATATGTGAACAAGTATACAGGGTGTTTCCAAATTGTCTGGACATATTTTGTAAACTTGTTCCTTTGGCTAAGACAAACAAAAATGCCATATAAGCATGGGTCTTAAATTACTAGATTTCAGTTTGTCGGTCTGTTTGTGATTTAAAAGAATTGTTTTATATCTTGGGCATTTTTAGATAGAAATTTCAAAATTGGTATAAATGTGTATTTTAGTTAGTTAAAAAAGGGCTTACAAATTTCCGTTCCAATATATCAAGCCGTTTCAATATGGCGGCCATTTAAAATCTTTAATGCAAATTTCATGAAAACTATAAATATTAAGACAATTGTATTTTCAGATCAAAAAGTTAGAGAATTTAAAAATGGTCGCCATATTGAAACGGCTTCAGATTTTGGAACGAAACTTTGTAAGCTCTTTTTACCTACTAAAATACACATTTTTACTAATTTTGAAGTTTCTATCTTGAAAAATTGCCAAGATATAAAATAATTGTTAAAATCACAAACAGGCCGACAAACAGAAATCTAGGCATTTTAGACCCATACTTATATGGCTTTTTATGTTTGTCTTAGCCCAAGGAACAAGTCCACAAAATATGTCCAGACAATTTGGAAACACCCTGTATAGTATAAGTAGTCTGTGCATTAGCTAGAATATACTGTAACGCAAAATACGTTGTTTAATAATGGATAGGCCTATTTTTATCTGTCGAACCAAAACTTAAGTAAGTAGAACTAATATTTTCGCCAAAAGACAAATAAAATTGTCTTAAAAAGCAAATACGTCATCGAATTACTATATCTATTATATTAGTAGAGATTTAGTTATACATCTTGATGTATGCTACTAAACCTGTTTCTCAACACAATATTCACCCTTCTTCCCTTCCCCATACCTCCGTACATCAGACATTTTGTACCCTCCCTAAGATCATCACAACCCTTCATTCTATCAGCATCCCTACTCTTACACCTTTGCCAATATCTCACACACAATTACCTCCACCCTTAACCCAAACTCGGTCACCACCATTTCTGCACTTTAATACCAATTAAATTCGCACATATCTGCCATTTTTACGATGGTGACACATCTGGGTATGTATTTTAAGATGAAGATAAAGGATAAGCGCAGAATGTAAAGAATGAATGTAAAGACGATAAACTTTATACTAACAAAAATCGCATTGTTTTAGGGGGGGTTATTAAAACACAGTAATCAATTACGTCTTATCAAATTTCTAATCTAAAAAGTTGTTGACAATTCCCAGGATCGAAAATTTCGACCTTCTGATTATCAGGCAAACGTCCGATGTTTAAAATGCTACTATCATGGATGAAGTACACCCCCAATGGATGCTACCATACCTACTGCTTCTCTTAGCAGTACACTCCTGCAGTACACCATATACACTTCCCCTTTCCATCTCCAATCCATACATAAGACATCTTCTATCTTCCCCAAAACTATCCTTTAACCCTTTATACTATCCTACACATATTGCCTCCTCCTTCAAACGTAAACTCCATCATCTACTTTATGCCACTTAAAATCGTACATCCCTTGGGCGTTTCTTTGGATACCCCTTTAGGTCAGGGGAAAAACTCGGACGTTTCTTTGGATGCCCCTTTAGGTCAGGGGAACAACTCGGACGTTTCTTTGGATGCCCCTTTAGGTCAGGGGAACAACTCGAAAGTTCAGATAAGGATCCTAAATAGCGCGTTTGCCCTATTTCCCAGCCACTTTACCCTAAGGATTCTCAAACATCACTAACCTGCCAGTCTTGGTGATGATCATCTCGGTTCCCAGCTCGTTGAACTTGTCCCACAATTCCTTGGTCTCCAGATGACACGTGACGTGCCTTAACTCCTCACAGTTGCAGCGCTCCTGAAGAGCAGGGTTGGGGAATCCTCCTGGGCAGCCTGGTCCTGCACCTCCCGCGCCAGAGTCGTCCCCCAGGCCACCCGTCGACGACGAGATCTCCGGTGGAGTGTCGCGGTCCCTCCGCCGGCTGTCGTCTGCAACATGAAGGAGAGTGTGAGAGTTTTGTGATGAATAATGTGTATTTTGGGTTTTTTGGCAGTTTAGTTTGTCTTTAGGAGGAGAGAAAGCAAGGTTATTTAGATTTGGACTGGATTGGATTTTTACGACGAAGTCATTTTGTGTAAAGTTAACTATATAATATCTCTGTTTTTAACTATCATTATCAATTGAGATGGGGACGCCACCTAGGTGTGTAACCCAAATATGAGTGAAAGATTAGTGTAGAGTGGAGTGAGATGATCTGTGGATGTTACTGACTAAGAACAACCAATTATACCCAGCAACATTTTTAAAAGTCCAAAGTGCAACAGTTTCGAACCAACAAAAATATACTGACTTTTCTCAGGCTCGAACCGGCAGCCTTCTAATTACCGAGCATATCTACCAAACTACCAAAATACGTTTTGTAGGGGCCACACATGATTTGAGTGATAGACACAGTTATTTTATCCCAATTATTTAGAGCTCCTTGGGATATTTCTAAGCAATTACCTTGTGGGATTCGTGCCAGCAAGGTGAGTCTGGATTTAACTGGCTGCTGCATTTTCATAAATGAACACATCTGACAACTAAGGAGGATGAATTCTAGGGGGAAATTAATCACTAAGCTAGCAATTATTATGATTTTCCTAACGAAGTTTAACATTATATAACAAGGTTAGGGTTTGCAGCTTTTCCTAACTCTTAAAAGTTGTTAACATAAACACAGTCAAGTACCACAACATTTGTATCTAAAACTTCCAGATAAACTTATTTGAATACAAAATATTTAGTTTAGCTTAATTGTTTATTCTTAATTAAGTGGATTTCTCTTTTAATGTAAATATACATCTACAGTACATTACGATACGATGCCTGTATGATGGCCGAGAATGTTATTGAAGAATAATTGTTTTAATAATTTCTTTGGTTTGTGCCATAGAAAAAATAATTAAATATTGGTATACTTGTCTGTGATAAAGTGTGTCCTCTATTTTCCGGTCATACCACAGGACAGTGGTAGTACACACTAAATATTTTAACTCTGGATAAATACGAAGAAATAAAAAGCAGTTACCAACGCACCTAGGTATTACTAACCTATAAACTACTATGCTATATACAGACATAGTTAACAGACATAGTAGTACTATAGGTAAAAACTAACCTTAAAAAATTATATCCATACAGTACGCTTAAATCCATGGTAGTCAAAATAAAAGTTTTGAAACTAGCTTACTTATTCACACAAACAATCTAACCTTTAATAACACAGTATACCTACTATTTTACTCCACAACCAACCGACTTCCTCATAATTTCTTTTAACCATTGATCTTTACAGCCCCGTATTTTCCCACGGACTACATTAACTACTAACAGTTCAGTATCATTGCCCGGCTATAAGTTAAATAGGTCCGTCCCCAAGATGGCGGCGGTATTTAGCGTTTATACAGTGAGGTGCGGCGAGCGGCACGATTATAACGTACACTGCCGATAAACCATGGATAATTATAGTCTTCACTACCGACACCGACACGGCAACACGGCGGATACCATCGCACGGTCGTGTCACTGGCGACAACACGTAGAACTCGTGTTGGGGAACCGCAATGAAATTATATTTTGACAATATTTCTGATTGTTTACCATCAAGTATCATCTTTGTAAAGGCGCATTAAAATCTAGATCAAGAAGGGGTTGAAGATTGGAGATCGAGAAAGGTTTTTGTTTAGTATGAAAGTGTGAACGTTATATTTTTATTCAATAATCTTTTATATAATTTTATAATGTAGAGCGACGGACAACAAAAGGCTAAGCCTTGCCTAATAAATCAATCGATAAATTATTTCGATCGATAAGATTGTCACAACCGAAATTTACAACTCTTTACAACAGTTGATTTTTACTCCCTAGAGACTAAAAACGCATACTTTAAAAACGGCTGTTTTTGCTGCAGTATGACGAAAAATTTATTTTGTCTTTGAAATTAAGTATCACGTCCTGATTTAGACGGTTTTGAATATTAGAAAGAGAGATTTTTATGCAGGTTAAAATATTTAGATATTGATTTTAACCATGGTATTAGTATTGGTAATAATAATCGCAATTAGAGCTAAGATTTCATCAGAATGTCTCACCGTAAATTTGTTTAGTATTCTCTTTTCAAACGAAGAAAAGAACCATATCATATATCAGGATTAAGACTGCTTTAAAGATTTTAAAACCATTAAGTTTTCCACATAAAAAATACAGTAATACATGTTGAGCCTAATCATGTTGCCAATATTGGCAAAATATCGTAGATCGAATGGAATAGTTTTAACAGGGTTTCAGGTCGTACAACATTTAATTTTTTTCTAAGCTTATTACCATACTCAAGACAGTCTGTGTAAAACAAATATCGGTACAGTTTTTACTTTTTAGTGGTTTAAAACGTTATGGATATTGGACCTAATTATGGTATCTGTTCTAGTGGAATGAATCACAATTTAATGATTTTGACAATATAAAATCTTTAATCATGAACATTAAAAGGTTATATTTTATTTCAGATAAAGTACCGTTGCTTGATCAATACTGCATTAAGGATTTAAACAGCAGTTTGAAAATTAGCCATTGATATTGAATCCGTCCATGTATCGGAATTGGTGAAAGGAATCATAAGTTAAATAATGGATTTTACATTAGGTATTTTTGACGGAATTCATTACAAAACATCTTGACGCATTAGAATAATCAAGAAGGCTTTGTACAGCAAGAGCATCTAAAGCGTTAAAAAAACCGTTTGTTTGATAGTGAACCTATTAATGGCATCATTCGCTCTTCCAATTAACCATTTCCACAGTATAATAGTAAATTATTGTTATTTGCAAATATCAGGCAACTCGGCAGCCAATCAGAATACACTGAAAGGTTATCCAACTTTTTCTAACCTTTGGCTGATATTCTAATCATAAAGTTTCCGCTAGTTCTACTTTGTATTGTTGACTTGAAGTTAAAGTGCTCCATATTAACCATCTGTAGCCAGTTTGTTACAAAGGAGCACTTGTTTTAATGTGGTTCTCTTAAATTGAGACTGTCTTAACTATTTAAGTTATATTTACTCGTTTACTAGGTAGGTTTTCTTCTCTTACAATGATAATTCGTAGGGATGCTTTAGTTTTATAATGATTTGCAATTTCAGTTCGGTGTGGTAAAATGTTAAACTTTTTTAACAAAAACTACGTCAGTGATGTATATACTATCGTATCTTCTATACATATTTTCTAAACCTGGCTTAATCTTTTTCATGAAAAAGAATTAATTTAATACTTCACTGTAATTTCAGTAATGCTTCTTAGACAATTGTAGTAACTGTCTTAAATATAACGTAGTTTAACGACAAGAAATGTTGATTAATTTGAACATTGGCAAGTTGATGATTGATTATATATTACAGTATAAGGACAATAGGTTCACTTTGATCATGTCAATATATTTTTACTGTGTTTTATCTTTTGCAAAACCACAATATTAGCATTGTTTCCTAGTTAATATACATTTCCTATGTAAGCCAATAAAAACTATAAATATAATGTATTATTCAATTCATTACTTTGTTCAGCACGATGTAAACTAAATAATGAAATTTCAAATTTATAAACAAATCTTTTATCTACTTTCATATCTTAGGTTTATTTTCGTTAAATTTATTTGGGACATTGAGTTTGAATAGATAAAAAAACTTATCAAGTTACTAATGTGATGTTACTAAACCGAATACACTAAACCGTTTCTACTGCCTTGTCTAAATAATCTTTCGCCCTGCAATTAATTACAGTATGGTATAACAATGGCACGAATCAGCTAGTACGATTATTTTTTAGCTAATCCTACAGTAAGATTGTTGTAACTTTGAGCACTCACTTTGATATCTTAGTTTCTCTAGACACAGGTAACTAAGTACACGATCGACCAGCTCGCTCTAATCTTCAAGATTGCATAAGCTTCATTATTGGAGCACGGTGATTATAGACGTGGGATATAGAATGTGCTACCAGCAGCTACTAGTAGCAGGCCACCCAACAACAGCTACTAGTAGACCACCCACACTATCAATAGCCAACTGCAGTGGGTGGGAATGAATATGAACATTTAAAAAGCGAAAAAAGAACATTCTAAGGAAAAAATAAAATATTCTAGCTACTGTTGCAAAACTAAATATTGTTCCTTATATAATTTTGATTCAAATTAAAATTAAAATAATCTAAGTTGTTAACTTTAAGGAGAAAGTTATCACTAACCTTAAATGTAGTTAAAGTATTTCAAGAGATGTGAAAGATTTTTATTTGAATGTGAAACATAGAACTCACAGTGGCGTAGACAAAGTATAGAGTTACTAAGAACATCTAATATCCAATTTTAAATTCATCTCTGTGACAACCCCCTAAAAGTTTTAACTTTAACTTTAAGCTAAAAAATAGCTCTAGCTTGTTAAAATAATACAAAGTCAAACTACCACTTTTAACGCAATAAATACTATGGCTTTTATTTAGGAGATGTGTAGGTAAATTCTGAAAACTCTATCTATTATTTGGATTGCATCCTACCGAAGGATAGTGTTGGATTTCACAAATATGTTCCCAATGAAAGGAAACATTTTGATCCTGTTTATTTATAATATAAATTAAATTTAATAATCTTAGCCGTAAGACTTATTGATGTTTCTTTCTTATAGCAGTCTCTACAGTGTATTTTCCCCCTGTATGTAGGTAGGATTGGGTAAAAATAGCCAGATAACTGAAGAGGTCTATTAAAAGGTGATACGAATTATAATACATTATAATTAAAACACGAAATGGTCAAAGGTACTACACAACCTTAAGAAACATGTGATGTTAGTTATTCAATTAAAAGTCCATTGTTTAAACCTTTAAAATTATTAACTTAATTTGGCTACATGAAATCGACTAAGACGTAAAGTGATAAAATTTAGCCTTACAATATACCACTA